GACGGCGGCAGCAGCGTGCGACGGAGCGTCGGCGTAACAGAATCGGCAATACGGCACTCGGCTCCTTATCTACTATGCTCGCATATCGAATTTTCGACCTAGAATGTCTGGGAAAGAGTTAGAGCGAGACTGCCTAGGCAATGCCATTCTGACCTTCTTATCGTTTACACTCGGGGTAAAAGTGCACGCAAATCGTTTACATGAACGGAGGAGCGTACCTTCTCGATCATGCAACCTGCAATAAATTATTTAATTAAAAGGCACTAAAAAAGTACGCTTGATCTTTGTGGTGACATCAAGTTTGTTAAAAAAACTTCATGTAGGTCACATGTAAGAACTTTCCCAAACTTAGCCAAAATGCATCAAATGGAAAAAGTTCGGCTTTTTTTTCCCGAAATTATTTTGAAGTACTTGCTTTGTAAATTTATAATAATTCTGATTATTTCTAATGCTGAGTCTGGTCCCAGAATCCCCTACTGACTTTGACCTGACTCGATAATCAACTTGTAGATCGGTGCATTTGTGAATATATTTATTATTATTAATATTACTATTTAACAAAACTGTCTCAGATGACTTTGGTTGGTGAAAAGAAATGCTATAGCTTGGCTGAGAGCGGGAGAACCGCAGTGTTCTATTTTGTCACCTCTATTATTTAACATTTATATTAACGACGTGCAATCTTGTATTCAGAAGTGTACCCTTTATCAGTACGTTGATGACACACTGCTTTTATCTCGTCATATTGCCGCGCGCGCCGCTGACGAAGTAGGCACCGCACTCGTGGCCTAACGGCTATCTACGCAGGAAGCCAGGGTTCGATTCCGGGCCGCGGTTACGCATTTTTGTTGACTCTAATTGTGATGTTTTGGTGAATTCGAGAACCATGTTGGGCTACTTCGAGGTTAGAATGTTTTACACGGCGAACCTTCTGCACAGATGGTTCCAGAAGACCACGCGTGTACAAAAGGGGCTCCGCGTGGCAAGCCGGAGTCAGTCTCGCCCCAGCGTGTTCGGCTTTGCTGTTACGCCGACTTCGACGCTCGCGACGCTGTGCTGTTATCTTCTGTTTCCTTTATATTTTGGGCACATGTTCGCCCCATTAAACGTTTTAGTTTCCTCAGTTATTCCTTGTTCGTCACGTCGTCATTCGTGACAATGTGCAATAGAGTACTGGGATAGTTATGTTGTAGGATTCCGCTATACACCTGTTGGACTTGTTTGCGTCGAGTGTTATTATTATCAATTGCTCAAAAACAAAACTTCTCTTTTTCAAACCTGTCAAGGAGTGTTCGCCTAGATAGGCCCTTCATTGTGCATACATCACGTTGTGAAGATTGTACCTGAGTTCCTGTTGAACATGTTTGTGATGTTATGCACATGGGAATTGTGTTCGATTCTGATTTATCCTGGAACACGTAAATGGTAAATTTTTCCCAAAAAATCATAAGAGTATCCTGTCTGTTGTATTCTATTAAGGTGTTTGTCCTGATGACGATTGAGATACTTATTATGGAGACGTTGGGATGCAGCATTCTAAGGTATGACATTATTTAAATACAGTCCTAGGCGATGGCAATACAGGATGGTGTCGTGAAAGGTATGCTAAAAAGCGTAGCTTAGAGCTCGGAGATTCTGGCAGAGCAATAAAGCTTGCTTGGGTTTGGGCTAGTTGGTTTTTCATAATTTTTGTTCTGCGCCTTTCGTGTGTGAGTATCGTCCTCCTTTGTCCAAGTTTGTAGACATTAGCCAGCCCAGAACAAAAATAATTTCTTGCAGAAGACAACTTGTTTAAATTGTTTAAGTTTCCTAATTTTGTAACTCTAAACAACATTATGACCAGGAACTACCGGGAGAGCTTCTTAAAGAATCTCAAGTATGCGCCCAAGTCTTTCGAGAGCAATCAACGACTTGAAGTGCCCAGAAGAAGGCGTTATAAAGAAAACGTATATGGCGCATTCGCACTGGCGTTTGAGCTGCGTTTGCGAAGCGGTTGGGGATGCGGTTCGCGAGCAACCCTGTTCAGACACACCAAGACGTGGTTGGCGGTTTTTCGGTGATCACTCGTGACCTTTTGATACTTGGGTTTGGCAACCCTGTTTTACAATCCAAAATCCTGTTTAATCCAAAAACCAAAATTTATTTATTTTGGCACTCAGAAGATTTTTCTTCAGGCTCTTCGTACGCAGCATGAGTTCAGGCAGCGGAAGAAGAGACATGGACCCGGACAACCCGCCCGCGAATCCCTGGACTTCGCCCACAACCAAAGCTTAATTAGGCGCTCCTTGCTTGACTAAGAAGAGGATGTCCCCTACGTCTTCTTTGAAGGGGACCCTTCTCGCATGAATAGATGACATTGTTTTCGGGATAGAGTGTCAATTTCTCCGCCTCGTCGGTCGCTTTTATTAGTGATGGCCTGTAGCTGAGCCGGTTGGTTATCCATGCTTACTGATTATTAAACTCCACGGATCGTGAGAAAAAAAGGAAGTTTCTATCTAAGCTCTGACTGAAGTAGTAGAAGCTACCCTTTTGGGATGGGGAAAGTCGAAGAGGTGGAGAATACCACGGTCCGTGAGAAGAAAAAGGAAGTTTAAGTATAAGCTTTGAAAGAAGAAGAAGAAGCTACCCTTTTAAGGATTGGGTTGAGGAAAAGGAAGTGTATATAAAAAAAGGGTTGATAGTCCAGCAGTGTGTTTCTTTCTCTCTTCGTCGCTTTCCTAACGTTCAGCTGGTAATCAGTAAGCGCTTTTATTATTTCCGGAGTAGTGAGGTTCACTGGTGCTCAGTGAAACTCGAGTCTACTGTTTGTTTGACATTAAGCTCAAATAAACAGCGTTTGCGTTACCTGTGCACCCTCTGGTACGTACACTTTATTTCTTGAGTAGGTTCCCTTTATTACTTTCGGTAGTAGTAAACGTTAAGGTGGACCTAGCGCAGGTACTCTGCCAGCTTCGTGGTAGTGTGTTGGCTACGCAGTTAGGATCACGACGTCTCTGTTGGCCTTCGTAGTGGTCATGCACGGTGTCGAAAGCTTTCAGTAGATCACGTGACTGTTTTAGTGGGTTCAGAAGCTGCCATTTTGGTCAATCAGAAACGGGTTTCAACTTTCTATGGGCAAAAACTAACCAGCCAGCGAGCGACGGGCTTTGGCACCACGAATAATAAACAAACCCGAACCAAATCACCGGAGCGAAGCGCGTTAGTATTGCGAGTCAACTGGTGTCGCTACGGATTCGAGTGACAGACGCGAACTCCACGTTTCCTCGCTGATTTGTCTGCTGCAGCGCCAGGACTACAGCGCCTTGGACGCCTCCCCAGCGACAGAGGCCATCTTGTTTCGAGAGCTACCGACGTCACGTCAGCGTCGAGTTGCGATTAGTCGCCGCTTCGCGGTTCGCCAGAGCGGTTAGGGCAAATCTTTGCCGAAGCGGTTGGCGAAAGCGCACTCTAACCGCTCGGTCCCAGCCGCTTTGTGGTTGAGAACGAGCGAATCCACTTCGGGTATTCAGATCCTTTTGCAGTATGAACACGCCATTAAGGTTCATTCAAGAGCTTCGACGTGCCGACGCGTCCTATTGACGCCACATTGGCCGTTTTTATGTTGATGCAAGCCACATAGTAGCTCCAAGATGTTTCAGTGGCGCCTTCTGGAGCTGCACTCACACTGGCGTTCGTATCGCAAACGTGAAACGGATCCTTTTGTGTTCGTCATTAAACGCGCCTAAAATTCTATGTGTAGAGGAAGTCGTGTACTTCTTGCACAGGATTTTCGACGAAGTCAGAGCAACGCCGAGTTCTCATTGGCTTTGATTGAAAGGATAGAGGGTAGACCTCAGTGCTAATTGCCCTGAGTCCAGTTTTTTTTTTTTTTTTGTACAGGAAGACGACGAATTGGCACTCCGCATTGGATTTTTAAACAACGGCGTTCGCAACCGCTTTGGAAACGCGGTTCAGCTTCTGTTGTGAATGCGTCGTTAAGGGTTTTTGTCTGGTACGTCATGACCAGGATTTAGCTAGCCATGAGATCACAAGTTGTAATCCTGGATACTTATCAGAAGTTGCGAGCTACAAGTTTGAAGGTGTGTGTAAAGAGTACGATGAACAATTGGAATCTTTGCATTCTTCAATCAGCTCCGTCCAAGTTGACAGTCATGACACTGTTCTGATTTCAGTCGATAAATAATAGTAATATTAACAAGAAGAAGAAGAAGAAGAAGATATCCCGTCATTGATGGTGGGGAGCGAGGGAAAAAGCTGCTAAGTCGCACCTTGACGAGTCCTCGGCTGCCGTACATTGACAGACAACGGAGGCCAAACTCTCGAGAGAAAGTTTGTTGAAAACAACCTGTCCTAAATACACACGTATCATAAATACCCACCGAATATTAAACCAAATGAACACTTATGGTGAGCGTAATGGGCAATGCCAACCCCAGTGACATTTTCGCAGCACCCGACGCAGATAGCTTTGCGCAGAAGAGCGTCGTCTGTTTCAGGGTCCCAATCAATAAAGGAGCGTCCAAAGTGCATCCTGACGGCGCTTGCGTCTATGCGCTTCCCATCACCGGCTAAGCCATTCCCGCGCAACAAAAACGCAGGATCATGCGGCATTCACCTTGAGATTACTTGCCACTTTCATTCAACTTTATTCTTTCCCTCCAGCGGAGAGGGGGAGGAAGGCTGCCGCTTGCCTAAGTTTCTCTTCACTATTCTCCGAGAATAGCAAATGCAGCAAAAGGACGATCTCCGTAAGGATGCATTTTTGTTGCTACAGCTGTGCGATTTGAAATGAAACGGAATGCCCCGCTCGAGAGTAGCTGTGCTCCCTGAGCCTATCATTTAAGCACCTCCCCGTGTGTCCAACATGCACTTTAAAACACGAGAGGGTGAACTTGTATACCAATTCAGAAACACACCTTGGCGTATTTCTTTTTTTGCACATTTGCTTTTTGACTGTTTTTCTACCTTCACCTTTATCCTCGGGCACATCTGGCTGTGGCTCACTTGCGCGCCTTCTCGATGCGCGGGGGCAGGGCGCGTCCGACGTCGCCGGACTTCTCGTCACCCTGCGAGGGGGGCGCGTGCGCCTTCTTGGGCGGCCCCATGTTGTGCACGAGCGGCCGGAAGAGCCGGTGCGCGAGGATCCAGCCGTACAGGTAGTCGGCGCCGTTGCTCTCCAGGGGGCACGCGCACCAGCACAGCAGCAGGAACTGGGAACGCACGAGCCAGTCACAGGGCGCAGACTCACACATGCACCCTCACATTGACTCCGTAAGTGTGACGTCATGGGTCCAAACAAACCGCTGCTAGGGTCGTTGTTATGGACAAATGCATGTGGCTAGGTTTCGCTACTAAAACCCGACCGTTCAAAAATCGGGAGTAGGGTTTAAACTTCTAAAAATCACAGATATAGAAAGCTTGTATGTCATATATGTTTCAACAGAAGTGTGCCGGTAATCGCTTGTTTTTGAAATATTTACGACTGCAACTTCCGGTCCTCAAGATGCCTGCAGCAGACGACGAATGCAAGAATGCCGTCTGACACACGCCCGCCGACCAAGCCGGCGCCGGCGTCTGAATCGGGTGAATGAAGACGATATTCTGATATTGCATTTGGTTGAAATACAATAAGTTTCAGACACTTATAAGAATTCATACTGGGGTGCTATGCAAAATATGGTTTATCGAAAGTCCGGGCGTCGATCGAGATGATCGTCTGCTAAAAGATCGCATTGCTCCCGTTAGAAGAGCACTTCAGGTGATCGGCTGAGATCCCAAATTTTGTTTGCGGACTCGCGCTACGGGAGGATGTTTCGTACCTGGTTGTAACCATCGCGTGGAGAAAGATTCTTGCAGTTTCTTCAGATTTCCGCAAGACCCCAAAGCGCGAAAGAATTGGATAAACATAAGCTGAGTTTAACAGATTGTACTCTCATCGCGGGTTCAATGGAGATTTGCGATAAGGAAAGAGGAACATTTAAGACAAACATATATTAAATGTTCCTCTTTCCTTATCGTAAATTAAAAAAACAACACGCTCAACCATCTACCTACATCGATGGAGATCTTCACCGAAAGAGCACATCCACGAAATTTAATGTATACAAAAAAAAAAGAATGCGCAATTGCGATAGACATGCAATATTTTAATAACCTGACAACCTCAATATTACCTCGACGGTGTACGATTTGTTTCTCATGCTGGCCTGCACTACGCCGCCGGTAATGCACTTCAGATCGTCGTCATAAATGATCTGCATGACGCGGGTTGATTTTACGGAATTTTCGCCCCTCTGAACAAAGCTGGGTTCTTCACAGAAAAAAAACGCACATTGCGAAGGCCTCTGTGGCCTTGGCGATGCACTTGCATGCAGCAAATCTATCGTGTCGTCTGCTACCGAAGCAAAGGGGAGTGGAATACTTCAGAAATGGCTTTCAACGTTGCAATACGACGCTGAGATGACAAGGACATCTTCATAATTAGATATCAAGAAGTTAGGTTGCTTACTAAAAATTATTTACTTACTTATAAGCAAAAATCTAGCCTCATGTGGAGTCTCCGTGCATTAGTCCATAGCAACGCCCCTAGGAACGGTTTGTTTGGACCCAGACGCCCTGTTGTGACGTCATCACTTACGGGGTCAATTGATACACTAAAGCGCTCTTTAAAACCGTCCACGAGATTGCTTCGTCGTTCAAGAATCATGTTCATTGGCCCATTTTTTTTCTTTTTTGGGTGTTTCTACGTGAGATCGCGCAATGATACGAGCAAGCCTATGTTTGTCCTGGCCGGGTGTGGGAAAACATAGGCGAAACATTCGCGCATGTGCCGTGGAGATCTTCGAATAGGGTCACTCTCGAACCTCGGGGAGGTTCGGAAATTAATGACGGACTCCTCCTGCAGAAATTGCTTGCAACTGCGCATGGGCTCCATTTTCGTGCGGCAAGGAGAGCAGGCGCTCAGCGCTTTCGGCATTTCCTCGCAGCGCGTATTGCAGACACGGTTCACAAACCACGTGACTCCGATCAAGCGACTGGAAACTCTCCGTAATACAGGGTCTTTAACGGGACGTACCGACAGCAGTGCCACCGCCTCAGCGTGACGTCATATAGTTGATTTGACACGTAGATCGTTAGAACATAACGTGGCTGTCCTTTGGTTTATATTTGTGCTTTTCCGCGGAATTTTTTTTTACGCCGGCAATTATCAGTAGTTTATTTCAGGGGGTACATTTTACAGCGTATGTCTATCGCCATTTGTCCTTCGCTGTGTGTCAGTGTCAATCGCCGTGCAAGCGTAGCCGTGTGTTCATCGCCGGTACCACGGCGCTTGCGCCGGCCAGCACAGATCTCAAATCTTTAGTAGGGGCTCCGTCGGAATCACTACTAAAGTGACTTTTGAAACAGCTCCGGATGTAGTAGGCGCCTTCTATATAAACTTCCGGTTGTTTTGTTTATCTTTTTTTTTTTTTTTTGTGGTAAGACATCGAAAAATGGCAGGTTGCTGTGGAAGCCGACCAAGCGGACGTAAAAGTGATCGATGCCGCGTTACCTTCTCGCCAGAACTGGAGATTGAAGGTAACGAAAGCAGGCTGGGAATATATTTCCCATGTATTTTGTCAATAAAGGTAACGTGGGCGTTATTTTTTCACATGGCACTACTAGAAGCTTGTTACATGGCACGTAAACAGCGTCTCGGTAAGGATCATTTTAAGAAATCTGTAAAAATCAGCATGATTGATAAGTTGATTGCATGCATGGCACTATAGACGCTTATATTGAGGAGGAACTCGTTCAATATGATGCTGCTCCATGGCAATTTTGGTGCGACGGGTTTAGAACGGCGCTCTTGAATCTTGCAAGATTTGAATGAAACAATTGTGAGTGTCATGGCAACGGAGGCCGATCTGCCAGTCGTCTTGCGAGGTTTTTGTTGTCGGTATATTAGTATCTGTTAGGGTCCGGCTAGCAGTCAAGTAAGGCAATGGGGCTACTTTCCGTGAACCCAGTGACTTCACAAAATCAAACTTTCGACTATTTTAACGGCCGGTTAAGATACTACCTGCAAACCGGCCCTGGGCATAACCGATAAAGTATTTTCTCCTTTTGTATATCACGTGATTTTAAGTCGCTTAAATAGACCATGAAAATGTTTTGACAGCTTTAAGAAGCCTCTGTTGGTGCTTTTGGAAATGAAATTTAAATACACAGGGTCGCAAGGGCATAACACGAACGTGCAATATACATTTTTGACCATTTTTCCCTCAGGTGACTGTCTCACAACAGAACGACTGGTGCCCTGCATTTTTCTCAAACATGGTTTCAACATGAACGGAACAATTCGGAGATCGTCATTGCTTTGCATGTAAGTGCTTCGGACCATGCTCGCGATAACTATATAACGCAGCTAGTCTGATCAAAATATGACCCCTCAAAATGAACCTTAAATGTTTGAAGTAAGAAGAACTACTTAAAACGTGTTTCTACGCTGGGTGGACGATGTCGTTTAATGTTCGGCATTACGCTAAAGGATAATTTAACCCTTGTGTTCTATCAAAAGAGAATATAAAGGAAGATATGCTCGCCTTCAGGAAGTATATTTTTTGAAAGTATTGCCCAAGAAGATTTGTGATGCCACCGAGGAACACGTTGAGAATAGCGAAGATGAGCCAGTAAGACGTCCACTTTTGCATGCTCGCAGGCTCCCGCTTCTCGAGGGCTCGAATGCTGCACACCGCAAGAAATCAAGGTTGAGATTCAATTATTATTTAGAAGGCGAAACAAAGGAGACAGTAACTACCCATGCCCAGAAATGCAAAAAGGGGGAACTATACGAAAGGGGACGCACTCGGGTGTTTTGTTTTCTTTTGTGACAAACAACTTAGTATTTGCCAGAAAAATTGTTTGTTTAGATACTTGAACACTCAAAGACGTATCCGAGCATGATGAAGAAAATAATCATCATCTGCATGAGACGGGTGGTTCTAAATATTTTATATGGCCTCTTTGCTCGTACAATATATTACATGTGTCACTCCTTTTTTTTCTTGCTAAGACGATACTCGTGACCGACTAACCGTCCGACGCTATCAAGAGCCCGTTCAGGAGTCCGAGATTGTCGGTCCGTAGAGGACCCATAGAAAAGCTAAGAGGCTGTGATACAACACGCGATATAATGAACGTTTTACAACACCATCAACCCCTAAATTCCGCTGGTGGAATTCATACAACGCGTAGGCCGTTTCTTCGCGTTTATGCCTGGCACTTAAAGAAATCTAATAAAAAATGAAAGCCGTTTACAATTCCCTGTAACGCCGGTTAGAGCGCAGCACTTGAGGTCACTTAACCTCGGGGCTCACGTGACCTGAAGGGGTCACATGACCTTAGGGGGGCCACGTGACCCCCTGAGGTCACGTGACCCCAGAAGTCACGTGACCCTCTAAGGTCACGTGACCCCCTGAAGTCACGTGACCCCATGAAGTCACGTGACCCCCTTGAGGTCACGTGACCTCAAGGAGTCACCCATCCCTCAGTACGCTTCCATCTTCCTCCTCGAGCTGCGGTCACGTGACCACCCAGGTCACGTGACCTCAGGGGGTCACGTGACCTTGGGGGGGTCACGTGACCTCGGGGGGGCGGGTCACGTAACCTCGGGGGTCACGTGACCCCCCAGGTTACGCCGACGCCGACGCCGACGCCACTCAGGCTGGAAACGGGCCCCTAAGAGCTGCGCTCTAAAATGAAAGCCGTTTACAACTCCCTGTAACGCCGGTTAGAGCGCAGCTCTTGAGGAGGAAGCTGGAAGCGTACTGAGAGATAGGTGACTCCTTGAGGTCACGTGACCTCAGGGGGTCACGTGACCTCAGGGGGTCACGTGACCTCAGGGGCTCACGTGACCTTTGGGGGTCACGTGACCTCAGGGGGTCACGTGACCTCAGGGGGTCACGTGACCTCAGGGGGTCACGTGACCTCAGGGGGTCACATGACCCCCTTAGGTCACGTGACCCCATGAAGTCACGTGACTTCAGGAGGTCACGTGACCTAAGGGGGTCACGTGACCTAGGGGTGTCACGTGACCTGGGTGGGTCACGTGACCTCGGGGGGTCAAGTGACCTCGCGGTTACGCCGACGGCGAGGGCGACGCCGACGCCGCTCAAGCCGGAAACGGGCCCCTAAGAGCTGCGCTCTAAAAAGTGAAAGCCGTTTCGAACTACCTGTAACGCCGAATTAGAGCGCAGCTCTTGAGGAGGAGGTTGGAAGGGTACTGAGGGGAAGGTATGCACCTCGTCCTCCTCCTCTCATTCTTCAATCTCTTCTGGGGGGTGAGGTCACGTGACCTCGGGGGGGGGGGGAGGGGTCACGTGACCTGGGGGGATTTCGTGACCTCGGGTGGGTCACGTGACCTCGGGGGGGGGGGGGTCGCGCGATGCATTATGGGACATTTAGCCATAAGGCCCGCCAGCCAAGTGTGCCAGTAAAAAAACAAACAAAACCATCCCGGTTATTACACACGGCGTTCATAAATACAATTATCCCCCAAATGGGGCGCCACAATCCAGATACAATTCAGTCGCTACATTAGCCCCCCATACACCCCCTCTTCAGGAGAACTTTGCTCAGAAGATCAAGAAGGTTAGAAGGAAGCCAAACTCGGGTAAACTATGCACTGTAGCTTTGCCTTAAAATGAATACTTTGGTAGAGTCGCTATGCACCATAACCCAAAAAGAGACACAATGTGCCTTACACCTTACGCATGGCAGAGGAGAAAAGCATGCACTACAAGTTCATTCGTTTTGGGGTAACCACACGCCGTCTGTAACAGAAGTAGCGCGACTGTAGTGTCCTAGGAGACGCTGGAGGGGCACTTGTAAACACTGGAGGTGGCCTACTGCTGTCTCCGTCCCTTGAAGACTGCTGCTGCAGGGCTGCCGGACCGTCGGTCGTTTCAGGAGTCACAGAAGATGACGACGGTGCACTGCTGCAGGGGACGAGGTGCTTGCGGTTTCGCACGAGAACATCACTGGGCGTCTGGACGACGTAGGAAGGTGGCCTCTGAGCGGGGCTCAGAACCTGTCGGTTGGCTGGGTCTTCCACCCACACTTCCTCTCCGACTTGGAGAGGGCCAAGATCTCTTGTAGCGTGGCGAGAATTGAACTCCCTTTGCTGATTACGGCGCTTGGTGGCGTCGCGTTCGTTGAAGTCCTGGACTTGATGGATATCCGGAACTTGCCTCGTGGTGGTGACGGGTAGACACGTCGTAGAGCGTATCCCATAAGGAGCTGGGCCGGGCTGGAGCCCGACACGCCGGGAGTTTTCTGGTGTACTAGCAGTGCCAGGAAAGGTTTCTCTGTTTTCCGGAGTGAACCAGTTCCCAAAGTCAGGTGGGACATTGCCACAGAAACTTTTGGGTATAACCCCCCGTTTGACCCAGCCCAGCTTCAGTTTTTTGCCAGAAAGTCCTCTGTTTTTAACGCTCGCTCCCCTCATCCGGACCAACTTCCTGTGCTCCGGCTGGTGGTAGCGTCCATGCTTTCTGCCTGCATAATTGAGGAGACTACTCGCGGCCCCTTTTTGTCTCCCATCCAGCTTGTACCAAAAACGTCCACCGCGTCGAGGTTCGTCCTCGACTGTTCACACTTGACCGCCTCTTTGCCAAGTTTTTGTCAAGTTTGATTTGCGAGACGCGTTTTAGCATTTCGGTCTGGCACCCGCCACACGGGCCCTTACCACCGTCCGGTTGGACGGCCGCTACTATCGTTACAAAGTTTTGCCCTTCGGCATCAGGCCCGCTCCTTTTTTTATGCAATCTTTGGCAACGGCCCTCACTCGTGAGGCACGCGCCCGTGGTTTGTGGGCTTGGTCGCACCTAGACAATTTTTTATTTGCGCACACCAACCCGGACTTTTTGAAGAAAGAACTTGATATTTTTCTTGACCAGCTCCTTGAAGCTGGCATTCGTTTATACCCTAGCGACTCAATGTTCTCCCCGTCCACCCAGGGTAAGTTCCTCGGCTTTTTTCTTAATGGAACAACGGGGACCATTGGGCATACGCCTTCGAGGCGTCAAGACCTCCTCCTTGTGCTTCGCGCACTCCACTACCCCCAGACACGCAAAGTTTACCAGCGAGCAGCTGGCTTTTGGGGATTTTATTTTTCACTTTACGCATCTCATTTTCATGCCTTACGGCCCCTCCACGTCGCGGCCGCCACTGGCGCCCCCCCTTCCAGTCCTTGGCTCCATCTTTTTGAGTATGTGGTTCAGTGTTTGCCCGTTGCCGTGCCCTTTAACATTGTGCCCGTCGAACGTGACGTCTCCGCGGACGCCAGCTCTTCAGGCATCGGGATCTGCTTACCCGAGGGCAACATCGCCATCATAGCGTCCCGACCAGCCCCCATCTACCTCCGGGAACTCTGGGCCGTCCTGCTGGCCCTACTTCTAGCGCCGCCACGAACCAGAGTTGTGACCGACAACCGGGCCGTTTATCAAGCCCTCACAAGGGGACACGGACACACCCTCACGCGACCAGAAGCTCTAGCAGCAACTGTACTCATGCTCAATAAAGCGGGATGGGTTGGGTGGGTGCCCACTGACCAGAACCCGGCCGACGGCCCCTCTCGCCTCCACCGCACTCTTACCGTGGGGACGAGCCCTGCTTCGCTGGGTCCTGGTGAGGTGGGAACCCAGCGACTGACCCGATAGGGGCACGACACCCTAATATATAGGCTCCGGCCCCCTGGCGGCGACCCCGCTCGTCCCCACGGTAAGAGTGCGGTGGAGGCGAGAGGGGCCGTCGGCCGGGTTCTGGTCAGTGGGCACCCACCCAACCCATCCCGCTTTATTGAGCATGAGTACAGTTGCTGCTAGAGCTTCTGGTCGCGTGAGGGTGTGTCCGTGTCCCCTTGTGAGGGCTTGATAAACGGCCCGGTTGTCCGTCACAACTCTGGTTCGTGGCGGCGCTAGAAGTAGGGCCAGCAGGACGGCCCAGAGTTCCCGGAGGTAGATGGGGGCTGGTCGGGACGCTATGATGGCGATGTTGCCCTCGGGTAAGCAGATCCCGATGCCTGAAGAGCTGGCGTCCGCGGAGACGTCACGTTCGACGGGCACAATGTTAAAGGGCACGGCAACGGGCAAACACTGAACCACATACTCAAAAAGATGGAGCCAAGGACTGGAAGGGGGGGCGCCAGTGGCGGCCGCGACGTGGAGGGGCCGTAAGGCATGAAAATGAGATGCGTAAAGTGAAAAATAAAATCCCCAAAAGCCAGCTGCTCGCTGGTAAACTTTGCGTGTCTGGGGGTAGTGGAGTGCGCGAAGCACAAGGAGGAGGTCTTGACGCCTCGAAGGCGTATGCCCAATGGTCCCCGTTGTTCCATTAAGAAAAAAGCCGAGGAACTTACCCTGGGTGGACGGGGAGAACATTGAGTCGCTAGGGTATAAACGAATGCCAGCTTCAAGGAGCTGGTCAAGAAAAAGATCAAGTTCTTTCTTCAAAAAGTCCGGGTTGGGGTGCGCAAATAAAAAATTGTCTAGGTGCGACCAAGCCCACAAACCACGGGCGCGTGCCTCACGAGTGAGGGCCGTTGCCAAAGATTGGATAAAAAAAGGAGCGGGCCTGATGCCGAAGGGCAAAACATTGTAACGATAGTAGCGGCCGTCCAACCGGAAGGTGGTAAGGGCGCGTGTGGCGGGTGCCAGACCGAAATGGTAAAACGCGTCTCGCAAATC